AATGCACCAAGTGAAACTTCTGCTTGAAATTGTATTTATCTTTATCAATTCCTAGTTATTTTTCAAGATCAAGTCAAAGTATATCTATCCTGTTCCAGATTCTTTATTTTCTTCTTGCATAGACCAGATTTTGATGGCTATTGTTTTATTCACTAGTGACAGTTTACTTAAATATTGGTCACTATTGTTTTTATTTTGTTTTGTTTTTAGCACACTGGACTCTAAACTGTGAGAGAAATGTCTTATTCATGCCCATTTCCCTTGTACTATAGTTCTAGATACATGTACTACAAGCTCAGTGATTTTCTAATGAAAATAACTGAAAGCACTGAACAAAACCAAAACAAATACACTCTTTTTGTACTTCCAGGAAAAAAAAACAGTCATCTTAAAAGAAAAACAAGAGGAATTATTACAATCACGAAGAACACAAAGCTGGTAGGGTAGCATATTTATAAGTAAAAAGTATATGTGCATTACATTAGTTGCTTAAAAAACTGTACATGAACAGTTCTCAGAAAAAATTCACAGGAATCACATTTGATTCCAGGCTAGGCTTCATCAATGATAAGAGAGGAAGAAAAGTATAATTTAAATCCTCATCTCTAAAGCAGTGGTTTTTAACCTTGAAATGCTGTAACACTGTAATACAGTTTCTCAAGTTGTGGTTATCCCTAACCATAAAATTATTTCATTTCTACTTCATAACTGTAATTCTGCCACTGTTATGAATTATAATGTAAATATTTAATATGCAGAATATCTAGTTTACAACCCTTGTCAAAAGATCCTTTGACCCTCGAGCATGCTGAGACCCACAGGTTGAGAACCACTGTTCTAAAGGCAGAGAACCAAAGTATATAAGATTATGAAGATGTTCAATCATACCACAAAGACATGTGCTCAACTATGTTCATAGCAGCATTATTTGTCATAGACAGAACCTAGAAACAACCTAAATGTCCCCCGACCTAAGAATGGATAATGAAAATGTGGTACATTTACGCAATTTACACAGAAGAAAAAATAATGACATCTTGAAATTTGGGGACAAATGGATGGATCTAGCAAACATCATATTGAGTGAGGTAACCCAGACCCAGAAAGAAAAATATAATATATGCTCATTTATAAGTGGTTTTTAGACATAAAGCAAAGAAAAACCAGCCTGCAATTCACAATCCCAGAGAACCTAGAAAACAAAGAGGACCCTAAGAAACATACATGAATCTAATCTTCATGGGAAGTAGAAAAAGACAAGATCTCCTGAATAAATTGGGAGCATGGGTATCATGGGTGAGGTAGGAAGGGAGGGGAGAGCAAGGGAGAGAGATGAGAAAAATACATAGCTCAATAAAATAATTAAAAAATATAATAAAAAGATTATGAAGAAAGAGATATTATTTATAAAGAAAAGGAATTATTTTTGCTAGAGAGGAAAATAAAAATAAAGAGAAACTGGTTTTAGACACATGATGATATATATGGATCGTGTTTAATCTAATTGTTAATTACACCTAAAAAAATTCACTGGAAAATCCCAGGATTCAAACCAAAGCAATACACCCAATTAAGAACGTGCTGAAGACTTACAGTATTTTACAGTCTTTAGAAATAGAACATAAGGCTGAAATAAGACCAAGCTATGGTTCAATTTTTTTGTCTTAAAGTAATCTGTTATTATTTCTCCTATTTTTATGTTTCCATCAAAGATCCTCTTCATGAAGAGCTCAAAATATCTTAGAGAAGTCTTTGTCATAGGGAACCTTGTAAATAAAAAACTAGAAAGCTAATCAAATTATACTTCATATTCATTGATTGATAATAGGTTAAATTCAGTTAAAAATCAAATAGTTATTATGAGCCTTGAAACAATTAATTGAAGAATTTGGAGGGTAGAATTCTACTAATCCATCCATATCTAATCAATTTGATGGATATCAGAAGTTTTTATAAACTAGGTTACTATTAAGTACTTGGGACTTCAATCAACTTGACAACTCCCTTTTGGCACTGATGACAAGTTGGTTATTGACATTTCAACTAGGAAATGATAGAAATTGAGTAGTTACTGTCACCTTTCTTTAGACAATTCCTATGTTTTCCATTTTCTCCAGAAGGGCAGGTAGCGCAGATGATTTTACAGAACCCCCTCCCCCAGACCTATGACAGACACTAAATCTCCTTCTAGATTCTTAATGCTCAAACTGCATGGCAAGAAGAGGAGAGAAATGACAAGGGACATATTATTTTTTATTTTGAGCACATTTAATGAACCGTGCAAGGTAAAAGTCATTGTAGAAAGCACAAAAATATATCTCACATTTTTCTATACACATCCAGACTTTGAACTATGCAGATGACAAAATGAAAGGTGCTTCGAGAGTCAGAAGTATACAACAAATATATCAGTAAAATACCATAAAAATGAATAGTGTGAAGACAATGCAAAAAAATCATATTCGTTTCAGAATATTCATCTTATAGCACTCCAAACATTGCTTTAGAATTACACACAAAAAAACTTTCTAAAATCCCCTTAGATGAAGACTTACTGTTTTTTAGTATAGGAAACCCTGTTTTATCCCAGGAGAGGGAAGCATTAGTAGACCCAATGGCATGATCTAGGAAGAAAGGCAAATTCACTGGTGCATTTTATATTAGAACCAATTACCTTACACCCAGAAGTCCAATAAATATTGAATGCTTTGAGGAAGTGCTGACCTCCTGTGTAGTTTGTTTCAATATTTTGAATAAAAGCTCCTTAGAGTTCAGAAAGTCTATCAAATGGCTCAATGATAGTCTCATCTATCAAATTAAACAGAAGGAATTTATTTAGGGTTCATTTAAAATGTAAAGTATATAAGATTTATTATGGCTTAAAATGTGATTAAATATTATTGTGTAAATGTAAAATATTTTTATTACTATCAACCATATAATTTGAAAGGTTTTAAAATGATGAAGAAGCTCATCAATTAGGCATATCAGAAAAATGTAATTTCAAGGCCCAAGGATCAAAACAAATATCTATGCAGAAAAACATGAGAAGAAGCCAGAAATGCTCCTCATTATTCTTGAAAAATCGTAACTGGTTAATCAGTAATTGTAGGAATATTGGTACATTCCAGGTTTGTTGATGGTTATCTGAGAAAGTTACAGACATTTATGTTACAAGTTGTGATGCTATAATACATATATACATTTATATGTATATATTTCAAAACAATCACAACAATTAAGCTAATTACCACTTTATGGTTTGTTTCCTGTGTGGTGTGAATATTCAGTATCTGCTCTCTATGGAAATTTCCCACACACACTCTGTGACCATTGACCGTATCCCCTTGCTGCTCATTGGCTCTCCAGGACAGATTCTCTTTAGCGTCCCTTCCCCCATCCCTCCTTCTTACCCGTTGCCCAGTTCAACCATCCTAGAGTCTATGATTCTACAATTATTGTGCGCTGCACATATCAAGTAGATGGTCCAGTGCTTGTCTTTCTGAACCTTATTCCTCAGTGGAACAGAATGCCCTGTTGTAAATGCAGGACATCCTTATATTCAGAACCAGTTCACACCCCAACGTACCTGTGCGTCACACACGTTTTTATATATTTTTTCTCCAGCTATTGGACAGCTAGGTGGATTTCTCTATCTTGACTACCGATATGAGACAGGGTTGTGATCTAAGTGGTTAAGAGCATGGCCTGCTCTTCCAAAGGTCCTGAGTTCAATTCCCAGCAACCACATGGCAGCTCACAGCCATCTGTAATGAGGTCTGGTGCCCTCTTCTGGCCTGCAGGCATACACACAGACAGAATATTGTATACATAATAAATAAATAAATATTAAAAAAAAGTTTAAGTTTAAAAAGGAACTTTAAGATTTATGACCAAATTCTGCTATCAGTGAAAACCAGAGCAATAGTTTGGGCAATAATGACATAAAATTATCCTGCAGCAGTTTTAAAAACTTAAGCTACAATAAACAAAAATAAGCAAATGTTCTTTTCATAAAAATGACATACACGAAATCTGTAGTTCATTTTTGTTCTGCGCTACAATTAATAGACAAGATGTAATGGGCTGTGGATTTCTTTATCCAAGGTATCACATCAATACACATAGCTTCTGTTTGCTTTTCTTTATTTCTTCATCTTTGTACACTTGGGAATGTATTATCTATACCTATGTCATCTATCTATCTATCTATCTATCCACATCTATCTATTTATCTATTTTCTACATCTATAGATATCACATCTATATATACACGTGTATATAGATATGTGCATGTATTTGTGTATATAGAGAGACGATATGTATCTCCCTTCTAGTGCCCTCATATCACCCTTTTCATGTTAGGCAAAGAGTCAATCACTGACTGCATGCAACCTCGGCAATTGCTTTTTATTGAGACCAATGGTAAATCACCAAGCTTTGGAGAACACTGAAACAATTTCTTTTGCTAGATTCTGATTTAAAAAGCAAAACGAAACTGTATCTCTAAGAAGAGACTTTTTTTTTTTTTAATAGCAGTGAGCTGTGGAAACAAGACTTAAGAGAATTGCATTGGCAGTACTTTCCTGCCCTCTACTGGTTGTTGCAAGTAAAGAATGTGAAAATTAAAGAATTTAACAAAATGACATAACTGATGCATCCTTTCATGTTTTACTTTAATCAAATAATAATAAAACAAAATAAAATAAAGATAACATTCTTATAAGAAAGATCCTGTTCCAGTCACAAAAATTTCCTTTGCTAGCAACTAGGCTTGAGAGAAAGGTTTCAATGGAGCATGTATTAGGGAATCCAAACACCATCCACAAATTTAACTGAGTACATATTTCACAGTGAACAAGGAAGGCATTGGTCGGGGATCCCTGTGTTTTCCAAACTACTTTATTCAGTATAGTATCTAAATACTTTCCAGGGATTACAAATTACAACTAAAAGCAGGAAGACTTAGGAATCCTGCAGGTATACTCCTTGAAGACAAGAGCCCAACGTGGGGCTAGAACCCATGACCCTGGGATTAAAAGTCCCATACTCTACTGACTGAGCTAGCCAGGGCTCTTACGAGCTGCAGGGTTTTGCAGCTAAAGCTGAGTCAGGAAGCCTCTCTTAGATGAGAGCACTTGCTTGCCTCTAGCAAGCAGAGCAGACCTGAGAAATTGTTGCTACCAAGAAAACATGCTTTACTCTTTCCCAAGATTTCTCAGGCTTTCAGTGGATTCAGTTGTCCACACGTCTGGGTGCCATTCTGTAGTAGGAGCTGTGGGCATCTTCCCACAGCCTGGCTCCTGGCTGCCTGGCTAGCTTATGCCCTGAAATAACAACACACAAACTGTATTCATTTAAATGCTGCCTGGCCCATTCTACTAATGTGTGTAGCACCAAGGTGCACTTACTGGATAGATTCTAGCCTACGTCCATCCTGGGTCAGAGCTTCATTGCATCTGCCCCAGAGAGCAGAGCTATCAGGTCTGAGCTCACTTCCTCTTCCCCCAAGCATTCTGTTCTGTTTACTCCACCCACCTATGTTCTAACCTATAAAATGGGCCAAGGCAGTTTCTTTATTAGCCAATGACCTTCCTCCATCAGACTGAGAGAAGAAGAAGGAGGCGAAACTGTGGCTAGGATGTAAATTAGTTAATTAATTAATTAAAAGAAGAAACTATACTAGCTGACTATTATGTGTATTTCTACTAGGTTTTGAGACTGTTCTCTACTGTGAAAACTATTTTACGCCTTGTACTTAACTCAGGTCCTGAATAAACAGGTTTCTGCATTACCTACAGAGTAATACTCCTATGGATATTACACATTTCCTTTTGTGAATACCGAGCTTATGAATTTATAAAGATACAAGCAACTTCTCTGCTGATCTAGGTGCCACCAAGCAACACAACAGACTAAGAACTATATTTTGATTTTATTAGATCTTAAGTCATCATGGGTAACATTCAGAGTTCCCTACAATCACTCACTCTTACTTTCAGATGAATAAATTGATGTGCACTCCTTTGCAAAATATTTAATTTGGAAATTTATTTCATTTCCATAATTTTCCATTTAGTGAGAATTCTACACACCATACTACAATAAAACATTTGCTCTTTGAAGGCAAATCAGTGTGTACGTAATGGATGTGCTCAGTATACATATATTTGAAATTAGGATTTATAGCTCAAAATCTCAGGCTTTTGAAACACAAAACAAAATAGACAGGTTTGCATTGTGGGCAAGGGAAACAAAGCAAAGAAACTTATTATAGATTAGAAGAAAACACTTGTAAACTTGACTCCTGATAGCAGGTGCCAGGAGGGTATGCTGGAAATGATGCTTTGCTCACTGTCAGGAATGCATTCCTGTTCTGGCAAGTTAGAGTAGGAGTTTGTTCTGCTTTGAATATTAGATTTACCACGAGGTTCGTATTTAGCATCCTTGGTCGGAAGCTAGTGATGCCATTTTGGAAAATTTTGGAAGCTCTGGGGCCTAATTAGTGGAGTGGTGAGTGGTGATGTCCCTTAGAAGGTATAGTTAGTATCTTCTCCTATCCTCCTTCACCTATGCACATTATGTAAAAAGCTACTCCTACCATGTCCATCTCAGCTCTGTTAGTTCTAGGTCAAGAATGTGTCTCTATCCAGTGAACCACTAGAGTAGGGTCCACCTACTGGGTTATAAATATATATCACCTTTGATGCTCTTTGTTCTTAACCTCTATGGAATCTGGAAAGTTTTATTTCTATAACCTCTGTCACTAGGGAATATATGTTCTGTCAGGGAACTCATCCAAGACACTTAATCCCCTGCTCCCTGATTTTAAAATGTTAGATCAGTTATATTAATTTTTTATTGCAATTCACTCTTTTTAAATTAGAAAATTATTTTTTCTCAGATTAAAGTCTCAGCAAAATTGAAAAAAAGACAGTTTTCATATATATTGTCCCTACAAATATATGAGCAAGGCAGGAACTCAAGATAGGAACGTGGAGGCAGGAACTGAAGGAGAGAGCATGGAGGAGTGATGTTTGCTCGTTTGTTTCCTGTGGTTCAATCAGCTACTTTTCTTAGACAGAGTGGCCTATCTGCCTAGGAATGGAATTGTTCTGAGAAGAGTGGGTCCCTCTACATAAATCACCAAGCAAAAGAATTTCCCCATAGACATGCCACGAGCCAGACTGATGGAGCCAATTCCTCAGTTAAGGTCTTCTCTTCCTGATTTGTTGACAACCAAGATTTGGCCTTGGGACAACATATATGTCCTACATGCTGTGACCTTCACTTTTTCACTTGATAGGACTTTTCTCTTTTCACTTGATAGGACCGTTTCATTCATATAAAGGTGAGCCTTCCCCCTAAGAGAACCAAATAAAGCAATGCATATTTTCCAACCTAATTTTTAAACTGTGCTTAACTTTTCAGTCTGGTTGTAATCTCTGAAGAAGATGATTTTGAAAGCATCTAAAAGGACACACTTACAAACACACTTACAAACACACGCATACACACACACACACACACACACACACACACACTAAAGGTTAAGACAGAGAAGCTTCATTCTCTCTTGAGATGTTCAAAGCCAACCAGTTGGGTATATATCATCCATTTTTAGAATAAATCCCAATTTTACATCATCCTGGAATTCTTTTCTGTGACAAAAGTCCAGACTCTAAGCACACAAGAGAAGAGGTCCCTAAGGGAAATCCCTAGGGCTGTAGAGAAACAGTAAGCAATGCCCTCTTCACTGACCCTGAAAAATGATAATACTTCCTCCTAGCTAGATAATTCTAAGAGATTTCACAGAGGTTCTTTTAACTTTATATGAAAACCCGTTTAACTAAGTCTGCCACTTGTGTATTTTGTGCTCATCTGACCAATAAAAGTTCCATGTAGTTTTACATATTTATTATATGTACTAACACACCCCTCCAATTTCTTGAAGGTCATGCCTTGTTGATTCATTTACTTACTGAGTCATCTACCATCTACAGATTAAAAAAATCACTGGTGTAAAAGATAATGATAGAAAAAGCAAACAAATTTCTGTTTCCATTCTCAAAGAGTTCACAGTTTAACAGGAGCACAAAGTACAGAGCAAAGAACCCTTGTTGCTGAGTAACCAGGAGTAAAGGGAGTTGAAAGGGAACCAACTGCTTATAAATGTGATGCAAGAAAAGGTCACTATATGGTAAAGAAGCAGTCTCAATTTTGTTTTCTTAAATGAGCAAATTTAAACTTTAGGCTCATGACGGGATTGAGGGTGAGTCAAGTTTAGAGTGGAAGACACAGGCCATAGTACTATAAAGAGAACAGCCTGCTGCGTGAAAAGATAGTAATGGGGAGCAAGCCACAGAGGGCGTGGAGGCAGAATGAGAGTGGAGAGATTGTACTCAATATACAAATATGGATAATATGAAAACTAACACTTTCTGAGACTGGTTGAGGGATGTAAAAATGGACAAATTTTATCACTTAATTTCCTGGATTGGGGTTTATTGGAAGTTGTAGGGACTATAGGAGAGGAGAGATAATGTAACCAAAATTTATGTCAATAGTGAAACAGAGGTGCATTCACACACAGTGCACCTTAAGAACAGATCCCCCTGGGAAAGGGAAATAGACAAGATCAATTGACGAAATTATGAGTGTGGGTGTGTGGGGGGAGAAGGGAAGGTGAAAGGTGAAGGAGGAGGGGAGAGGGGGAGCCGGGGGGGAGAACTTGAGGGAACTTGGGATAGTCGAGATGGAGGAAGGACAGAGATGAGAGTTAGGAAAGAGATATTTTGATTGAGGGAAGCTTTATGGGGCTAGCAAGAAACATGGCACTAGATAAATTCCCAGGTATCCACAAGGATGACCCTAGCTAAGACCCTAAGCAATAGAGAAGAGGGTGCCCAAACTGGCTTTGCCCTATAGTCAGATTGATGACTATATTAAATATCACCATAGAACCTTTATCCAGCAACTGATGGAAACAGAGACAGAGACCCACAGTGGAGCATTGGGCTGAGCTCCCAAAGTCCGGTTGATTAGTGAAAGAAGTGAGAAATGAGCAAAAAGCTCTCAAAACTGTGACAGGGACACCCACGGAAACAGTTAACCTGAGCTAATTGGAGCTCACCAACTCCAGCCAGACAGGGAAGAAGTAAGCATAGTACCAAACTAGTCCCTCTGAATGTAGGTGACAGTTGTATGGCTGAGGCAGACTGTGGGGCCACTGGCAGTGGCAACAGGATTTATCCTTGTTGCTTTTACTGGCTTTCTGGAACCCATTCTCTTTTAATGGTACCTTGCTCAGCCTAGATATAGTTGGGAGGGCCTTGGTCTTGCCTCTGTGGAGTGGTTGGGGGTTGGAGTGGAGGGGAGGTGAAGCGAATGGAAGGAGGAGAGGGAGAAGGAACCGGAATTGTTATGTGAAATGAAAAAAGATAGTTTGCTTTCTTTTTTAAAGAACTAAAATAAAAAAACTAGAAAAAGAATTTTTAGTAGACTATTTTTCCTTATTCTCATATTTAAATCATATTAAGAAACTAGTCTGTTTTGTAACTACACGATCTTTGAATTATTTTTTTTTTTACATTTTTGTAGATCAGTATCTTTACAGCTGTTTTAACTTTTACAGAGTGGGCACTGACATTGCTGAAGGATCAGGGTTTGTGAAAAGAGCACTACAAAAATGCTAACTGTGTAACTGTAGCTGCTGCAGCCGACATCTGAGCTGTACTCAGAGCATGCGTATGTGATGGAATGTCAGGAAGAAAATGAGAGCAGCTAGGAAATGTTGCACATCTAAGTCATTAAATGTGGGTGAAAGTTAGGCATTATTAAAACATCACACACAATTGTGTACACACACACACACACGGTATGTGCTCCCCTCTTTCACACACACAGTTAGATATACTTCCTTTTTGTTTTGTAGTCAAAGTTAATTCAACTAATCATTGTTTTCAAACCTTTATCAAATCATTAACTCTCTGCTCTGACTTCAGTAGAACACTTGAGAGGGTGCTACTTTACAACCCTCTTATTAAAATGGTGTGTTTTCTCAAATGCAATACA